TTTCTTTCTTTCTTTCTTTCTTTCTTTCTTTCTTTCTTTCTTTCTTTCTTTCTTTCTTTCAGAAAAGCACAGAATTTAGAGTTGGTGACACATGGCTTAGAGTTCTCTTTCCCTCACTTGCTAGTAATATGATCTAAGAAATCAAGTCACATCATCTCTCTGCACCTTGAGTTTTTTTTCTATTTGCAAAAATGGGAATAATGCGACTTGTCCATACTCACTAACAGAGCTTTTGTTAGACCAAGAAGGAAAACGTTAGTACTTGTAAACATGAAGTAGTGGGCAAATAGTGCGAGAAAAAACACAAATTGTAGAGTCAGGTGTACCTGTATTCAGTTCCCGCATTTGCCACTGACTAGCTTAATGTAATCTTAGTTTCTGTGTATGTACAAATCTAATAACATCTACTTTGTGGTCATAAGGAAGAAATAACATAATTTTTATAAATCTCTGTAAGGTAAACAGGGAGACATTCTATCCCCCTTTCTTAGATGAAACAGCTGGGGCTCAGAGAGTTAAAATTTGACCAGGGTTATACAGGTGAAAACTGACATTAGCAGAATAAACTCTTAGTATCAAATATGGGTTTTGTGTTTTAGATAAATTATATCAGGTAATCTCAAAGAAAGAGTTCCATGTATGTTTGGAACATGACCTAAACATATGAACACACACACACACACACACACACACACACACACAGATCAGACTCATAGAAAGATTGTTTTTTAACATGCAGATATATTTGTTCTTGTGCATTGTTCTTGTCCAATCTCCTAAGTTTATCGTCAGCTCGTACAAATTAAAAAATGTGGTCCTATATCAAGTTAATGACCCAGGAAAAGGGAGAGACTGATTGGCTCCCTTTTCAATTGTAGTGCTGGTTGACTCACAAGGCCTGGATGTCATGATTTATATTTGATGAGCAATGTATATTTGAATTTTAAAAATGAAAGTCTATGGCTTCAGTCATGTATTAACCCAGGACATATGGTGGGGTTCACTTATAGTTTTATAAATCCCATGTCTCCCACTTTGTTTTGTGTTACACTTGACTGGTAATAATTTTTTCCCTCTATGGAAACTTCCTTGATTGTCAGTATATCTCCAATGGTGTAATCATTGTATATTAAAAAAGTCATGTAAATTATTATCATCATCTCACATTTTCAAGAACATTTTTAATGATAAGGAATTTTTCTTTTTAATTACTGATGAGGACTTTTCGTGGCTTGGGATAAGGTAATCATATTTTAAGTGCAGGATTATAGACTTGATATTAAGACTTGATATTGAGCATAACAAGAAGGTAATTTATACTTTGCCTTGGATAAGTTTTTTTGTTTATGCCAAACGCCTAGAAATTTCGTTTTTAATTTCTTTTTAAAGCTTATTTATTTTGAGAGAAAATAGAGCACAAACAGGGGGGCACAGAGAGAAGGAGAGACAGAATCCTAAGAAGGCTTCATGCTATCAGCACAAAGCCTAATGTGGGATTCAAACTCACAAACTGTGAGATCAAGAGTTGGACCCTTAACTGATTGAGCCACCCAGGGGCCCCTAAATCCCTAACAATTTTAAAACTGAAATACGGTAAGATGCCAGATTTTTACCTATTCATAGATGCATAAGATAAGTATACAGACTGGGAAAAGAAATTATTCATTCTTGAGATTATAAGTACGTACTCCTAACAACTATACAAATAATAGGACTTCAAGTATTGTTTTCACATTACTGTTTATAATGGTGAAAAGAGTGTGTAGCCATGTCTTTCGTGTTGACAGTGACAGAAATGCAAGGTTAAGTTGTATTAACATACTTTTGTTAAAAAGCAGTGCTTGTGTATTTTCACCACATTTACATCCCTCATAACTTATATCTCTCTTCTTTTCAATTTTTATTGGACTATTTTCTCCATATTATTCTTCAAATAGCAGGATAGCTTTTCTGAGGACTTGATCAGAGGATGGGACTCAGCATGATTGCTGGTAGCAAAAATTCAAAGCATACTTGTGTCTTGTTTCTGCCCACTCTGCTGGAAGTAAGTTGTAGCGTTCAGGGCAGGGAAATGTTCACATTCATTGCAGGGATTTCCCTTGTGCAGTGTATTCATATAACTTTAAAGTTATATGTTTGGATATTTTAATAGTTTGGCTATATATTATTTTTTCACAGTATTCGATATTATTGGAATGATTATTTTTATTTTCGTAATACCATGAAGCTTATTGAAAGGGTACATTAAACTAAGAGCACAACACTGAGTGTCTTGACTTCCACATCGGCTGCCATCAATTAACTTCTTCACAAATATGTTTTTAATGGTCTGGGTCTGGCTTCTTGCCCAACTGAGACCTATTTTCTTTATAGTATGGCCCAATAAAATAGTCAAAAAGTAGGTTCAAATCCAATTTACTTTACTGTTTTTTTTTTTAGAATGATCTAAGCATTGAAGATAGGCACCCCTGCATATTTTAATCTGTTGTCCTGGCAAAACTATTACTGGCAAATATTTTACTCTCAAAAGTGTCTTCGTTTAGGTAATTATATGTCATCTTACCAGTTAGGTAGGTATTGATGGTATCTTCTTCTAGACTTTCTTTTTCTTTTCAGAGCCTGGAGAAACCTAAAGACACTGGGATTTTAAGTGTCTTTCCGAAAGATGTATAGCTACTTCATGGCAAAGCTAGAGTTTACTGTAGTTGTTTTGACTTTAGCTTTGAGCCTTTTCCAGTTTAGATTTTTGAAGATTTGTCCTGTGACTATTTATTGTTGGATATATTCATTCTCTTTCCCTCCATCTCTCCCTTGCTCGCTCTCGATGTTTCTCTCACTCTCGCTCTCTCATTCTTTCTTTGTATTCTTGAATATCTTTATGTGTAATATAAAGTATTTAGAGAAACTGAGATAAAATGAGCCATACTAATTGTAAGCTGTCTCCTTTTGATGAGAAATTGTTGGAAATACCATTATCAGCCAGGTGCTGGAAAGCATTAAAAAGCTAGCAGTACAACACTGTGGCCAGTTTGACCTTTGGAGGAAAATGTAAATTTGTCTTGAATTGGCCACCCTGTACCAGAGATTATCATTTTACTGATATCTGTCCCGTTCTTTTGGACTGATCAATCATAATTGATCCAGATCTCATGTATAACAAATTCAACTCTCAGCAAAATGATTTTAATTGTTTTCCAATTACTATCAGCTCTGAAATTCAGTATGTGCTTCTAGAAATTAAGGTAGCTAGCAAGAATATTTTCTTCATGCTAAGTGGTAATTTTCTTTTTTCATGTTGGCTAGATTTTTCTAGATATGACATTTGGTTCAGGAGGACACACAAGAGCCATTCTACAGAAGGAGTCAGATATTACTCTGTATGCCTTAGACAGAGACCCGACAGCTTATGCAATAGCTGAACAGCTTTCAGAATTCTATCCGTAAGTAATACTCTTGTATAATTATTGAATTTTCATGCTGAGTTTTATAGAGCTTGGTTTACCATTTTGGCATTTGTTCTCCCTTGTGTGATGTTACGCTTCACTATGCTACATATTTTCTCCCTTTTTTCCTCAAAAGAATTAATGTAAATAATGTTTGAGTACCACTTAAAATGATATTACTGCCTTTATCCTTTCTGAATTCATAAAAATGAATACAAAAATGATTTATGGCTAAAATCTGAAGATGGGTTGAAATCCATCCGTGAATAATGTTTTGACAAATAAGCCTTCGTTTAAAAAATAATTTTTAAAGAATTTATGAGTTACAGTTTCCAAGAATTTACTGTAGTTAGTAAGTATGTGAGACTTCTGCAGAATTCATTAAGTCACATATATTAACGTAATGCAGTTGTTGTCTCTGAATTCTTTTTGAAATTCACAAGTAAATTTAGAGCAGTCTATCCCTCTGTCACAAATTAGGTGACCTTTCACCTTGGAAATGAATATAAAATATTGTCTTCCTAAGTTCTTCCTTAGGAAGAACTTCCTTCCTGTTCACTTCCTAAGTGAAAGCATCTTCCTTTAGAGAAAATTTTGGATGAGTTATGCTATGTTGTTTAAAAGTTATCAGCCTGAAAAAGGAAAATGTCTTGGAGTTAAGATGACTATCTACAAATATGTAAAGGGCTATTTTCAGGAATAAGGAATTGTTCTTTTCTCTTATGCTTCAGAGACTGAAATCAAGAAAATAGATGAGAATTTTAGAGGTAAATTTTGACTTGATGTAAGCCAGGGTCTTTTGATAGTTCTAACTGTCCAATAATGAAAAGGTCCATTTGGTAAAGTAGCAAAAGTATGACCATGGAAAAGTTTAATCACAGACTAAGGATAGGAAGCTGAATTACTAATGTAGAATAGTCTATTTTGAGGCGCCTGGGTGGCTCAGTCAGTTAAGTGTCCGACTTCAGCTCAAGGTCATGATCTCACAGTCCGTGAGTTCGAGCCCCGCATTGGGCTCTGTGCTGTCAGTCCAGAGCCTGGAGCCTGCTTCAGATTCTGTGTCTCTCTCTCTTCCCTTCCCCCACTCACACTCTGTCTCTTTCTATCAAAATATGAATAAATGTTAAAAAAAATTTAAAAAAAGAATTGTCTATTTCACGTTTTCAGGTCCCAAACTCTTTACAAATCTATCAATGTGATTAATTCTCCCAATAAAAATGTGAATAAATACACCTAAGTTTTTGTTAGCAGTATCAGAGGGTTTATTGGAGTGCCTGAAATCAGTTTGACCCCAGGTTATTTTCTTCTAAGAAAAATATGAGGATATGGTTTAATGATATGATACTTTTTTTTTTTAAACCTACCTCTGTCATTCTGCAGTGTCCCGTAGATGCATCTTCTTTAAGAAGAGCTTGTATTAATTAGGGCATCCATGTTTGTAAAACATCTTAGGAGTTCACTTGTTTATGACCTGAACATTCATAGAATGCATGTAGGTCTCCTATTTCACTATCATAGAAAAACTGGATTTTTCTTAGATATTGTTGTTTCTAAAGGCAATGAGTTCCAGTTCAGATTTTTCAAAGTCTCTTATTCCTTCAAATAGCCTCCTATCCTCGGATAGAACTTAACATTTTATCAATTTTGTCAGGTGTAGTTTTTTATCTTGAGACTGTGTTTTCTTTTCAGTTTTCAGTAGTAGAAACCATTAGCTAGACAGATTAAATGATTTGCTAAAAGGCATATATGACTAAATAGAAACAAAGCTGAGACATGCATTCTGCCCCATCACCTAATATTATTATTATCATCGTCATTATTATTATTATTATTATTATTATTATTTTGAGGAATAGGTGACATAAATGTTATATTAGTTTCAGGTATGCATCATAGTGATTTAACATTTCTACACATTACTCCATGCTTACTATAGTAAGTATAGTTATCATCTGTCACAATACAACATTATTACAATGTTATTGACTCTATTCCCTAGGCTGTACTTTTCATCTCTGTCACTTATTTATTTTATAACTAAAAGTTTGTGCCTCTTAGTCCCCTTCAGCTATTTCACCCATCCTCCCATCCACCTCTTCTCTGGCAACCACTAGTTTCTCTGTATTTAAAAATCTATTTGTTTTTTGTTTGTTCATTTTATGTTTAGATTCCACACATAAATGAAATAATAGGATATTTTTCTTTCTCTGTCTCACTTATTTCACTTAGTATTAATACCCTCTAGTTCCATCCATGTTGTCACAAATAGCAAGATTTCATTCTTTTTATGGCCAAGTAGTATTCCAATGTATATATACGTTTATCTCTTCATCTGTCAGTAGACACTTGGGTTGCTTCTGTATCTTGGCTATTGTAAATAATAATGCAATAAAAATAGAGATACTATTATCTTTTTAGTTTAGTGTTTTTGTTTTCTTTGAGTAAATACTCAGCAGTGGAATTACTAGGTTGTATGGTATTTCTATTTTTAGTTTTTTGAGGAACCTCTATACTATCTTCCACAGTAGTTACACCAGTTTACTTTTCACACAGGAACGTTCCATTTTCTCTACATCCTCCTTAACACTTGTTATTTCTTATCGTTTTGATACTAGCTATTCTAACTGGTGTGAGGTGATATCTCATTATGGTTTTGATTTTCATTTCCTTGATTAGTGATGTTGAACATTTGTTCATGCATCTGCTAGCCCTCTGTATGTCTTCTGTGGAAAAACATCTATTCAAGTCCTCTGCCCATTTTTAAATCAGATTGTTTGTTTGCTTTTGTTTTTTTTTATTTGAGTTATATAAATTCTTTATATATATTTATATATATTATATATATATAATAAATTCTTTATTGCATGTATCATTTGCAAATATCTTCTCATTTAGGAGGCTGCTTTTTTGTTTTGTTGATGGTTTCCTTTGCTGGGAAAAGCTTTTAATTCCTCTCTCTCTCTGTCTCTCTCTCTGTGTCCCCCTCTCTCTCTGTCTCCCTCTGTCTGTCTCTCTCTCTGTCTCTCCCTTTGATGTAATCCCAATAGCTTATTTTTGCTTTTGTTTCCCTTGCCCAAGGAGACATATGCATAAATATGTTGCTAGGGTGAATGTCTAAGAGATTCCTGCCTTTGTTTTCTTTTAGGAGTTTTATGGTTTCAGGTCTCACATTTAATTTTTTTTTTTTTTTTAACATTTACTCATTTTTGAGAGACAGAGAGAGACAGAGCATCAGTGGGGAAGGGCAGAGAGAGGGAGACATAGAATATGAAGCAAGCTCCAGGCTTTGAGCTGTCAGCACAGAGCCCAAAGCAAGGCCCAAACTGAAGGACAGCAAGATCATGACCTGAGCTGAAGTTGGACGCTTAACCGACTGAGCCCCCCAGGCACCCCTCAGGCCTCACATTTAGGTCTTTGTTTTTAATTTTTTTTTTAATGTTTATTTATTTTTGAGAGAACGAGACACAGAGTGCAAGGGGGGGAGGGTCAGAGAGAGAGTGAGACACAGAATCCGAAGTGGGCTCCAGGCTCTGAGCTGTCAGCACACAGCCCAACACAGGGCTCGAACTCACAAATGGTGAGATCAGACCTGAGCCAAAGTCAGAGGCTTAACCAACTGAGCCACCCAGGCACCCTTCACATTTAGGTCTTTAATCTGTTTTGAATTTATTTTTGTTTATAGTGATCCAGTTTCATTCTCTGGCACACAGCTGTCAAGTTTTCCCAATACCATTTATTTAAAATACTGCCTTTAATTCATGGTATATTCTTGCCTCCTTTGTTATATATCAGTTGACCATATTATCATGGGTTTATTTATGGGGTCTCTATTCTTGTCCAAAGAGCTGTATGTGTCTATTTTTGTGCCAGTACCATACCATTTCATTACTATAGCTTTGTAGTATACCTTGAAATCTGGGATTATGATACCTTTGGCTTTGTTCTTCCATTTCAAGCCTAATAATCTCATTTTATTTTGTTTTATACTACCTTGACTCAAATCTAATTGATACTTTTTTACCTCATCCATAAGATAATTCTTTGTCAAGCATAATAAATTAGTTAAGGAACAATAGAGTAAATCAAAATAAGATAGGAAGAAGGGATTAATACAGATTGAAATCAGAATAAAAGAAACTAAAAAGAAAAAAGAATAAAGAAATCCTAAGTGTTTATTTGAAAGTAACAAAAGTCCTTGATAGCTTGATTAATTTTTTTTATTATTTAAAAAAAAAAATTTTTTTTACATTTTATTTATTTTTGATAGACAGAGAGAGACAGAGCACAATTGGGGTAGGTACAGAGAGAGAGGGAGACACAGAATCCGAAGCGGGCTCCAGGCTCTGAGCCGTCAGCACAGAGCCTGATGCGGGGCTTGAACTCACAAACCGCGAGATCATGACCTGAGCCGAAGTCTGACGCTCAACTGACTGAGCCACCCAGGCACCCCAATAGCCTGATTATTAAAGAAAAAAATGAGCAAAAATATATGATTAAGACTGTAGAGGACACCAACCATAGACACAAGATAAATTAATCATAAGATAATGCAACCATAATTCTGTGGTAACATGTGAAACCTGGATGAAATGAATAATGTTTTATCAAATATAAATTATTAAAATTGACTGAATATTATGAAAGTTGAGTAGGTCATTACATTATCATAACAGAGATAAGAAAGGTAGCTAAAGTATGTAGAACAATGTACCATGACTAGATTTGCAGTTGTTACCTAGTTCTTAAAAAAATAGGAAAGAGCATTGTCTTTTACACTATTCTTGATCATGGTAAATATGTAAAGCCCTTTCAGTTCATTTTATATTGAATCTAACCTAGTTTTAATATTTAATCCTGATAGAAATAGTATAAAAGAAAAAAAATAGAAAAAGTCTAACCTCACTGAAGAATATAGATGCAAAATTCAAAAGGAAATACTAGCATATCTAACTCATATATTATTTAATTAAAAGAATAATACGGGCCACCTGGGTGGC